TCGGCAGAATCTTTTCACCTAGGAGGAAGGGGAGTAGGAACAACCTGGTTCTGAGAGCAAGAAGCCTCCTTCTGAGACCTCCCTTCCTTATCACTGCACTAGACACAGACTGCTCTGTGGCTATAGTAGCTGCTGAAGGTGATCCACATATGAGGCCTGGCCTTCAATAGCACAAGAGTTTCAGTTCTATGTATTTCTATTTAAACTATTGGGAGTATTACTGGTCATTAGTTTGCCATAACTACAATCTTCAAATGTCACTTGTGACCCCATTGTGTACCAAGCACTAACTGGCTGAGTGTGCCTACCCTCACCATGCTCTGTTTTCCTGGAGAAGAGAAATTAGAGGTAAGAACACATAAGAACACCTCTTGATCACCCCAACAAAAATTGGCTTTTTCCTAAACCAAGGCCACCCTTGATATGGCCGCTAACATTGGGGAGCCTTCCTTTATGACAATATTACACCCCAAACTGACAAATGGTTGGTAACTTGAACATTTACAAGGGACTAGGATGGCTGTGAGTTAGCCCAACGACGGGATTATTGTAGGTCCACTTCCCAGGGGCCCACCCAATGCAGCTGAAAAGGAGTGCATGGTGCTGGGAGTGGGTGCAGCCTACATGGCCTAAGACAGGGCTCTCACCCTTCTTTCACCCACCTCGGGGTCCCTTGATGTTGCCCATCGTTGACAGCCTAAAGCCTTCGACCATCGATGTGACTCGTCTCACATCAATGTTTTGGGGTTGTGAACTTGTCTAAGACCCCCCATAATTAGACATCCAAATTCAAAACTCACATAGTTGGGATTGATCATAAGACGCCTTCTCTAACTAAACAGAGAAGGGGGAGATGCCAGAAGTCAGGACCCTCGCCCTTACCCTCACCCCCTACCTTTCCCCACCTGCACAATGTCCCCTGAAGCTTGGCAACTGCAAGATCCTGCTTGGCAACTGCAGATAGACTCAAAGCAGTGTACCATATCTTCTGAAGAATAGCAGGGAGACCATAACTCAAGCAGTGTACCATATCTTCTGAAGAATAGCAGGTAGATCATAATTCAAGGCACTGTACTGTATAGATCATGAGATGTTTCAAGGCAGAGGCCAAGAAGATTCTGTACTTTTCCACCACCTGGCCCCTCTTACCCCCTCCCCTTGTAAAATATGCTATAAAAAAGCATTTCATGTTCAAAAAAATTAAAAATAAAGAAAAAAGAGAAAGAAAAGAACACTGTGCTTGGGTGGAGCCTCAAGAGACACACAGAGGAAGTGTCAGGGTGCTGCAATTCTGTGCAGTAGCCATGATTGCTTCTGAGAAAACCTTCACTGTAAGATGGCATGTGAGCAGACATCAGAACATGAGAAGAGTATTCCAGTTTCTGAGGACCAGTGTGTTGGGAGAAAAGTACTTAATCTAATTAACCACAACACTACAAACAGCCCTATGACCAAAGAAGAGAAAGTGGAATAGAGATAGTGGAATCCCTTTTACTATTTCAGGGATTTTTAAGGACTTTAGTTAACTTTTGTTCTGGCTACAGTTCTCTGATTTGACTAGTGCTAGAACATCTGGCTGCTGTGCTAATGTCAGTGACAAGAACGTCATCACAGCATCCCGGGGCTGAGATGATGGCAGTGAAGCTTAAAAGTAAAGTCACAAAGGTACAGACAATACAATTTGGTCACTAGTCAAATGAGGCTGTGAGAGAATGACAGGAGTAAAGGACATCAAATTGCTTTATAACTGAAAGGAGGACATTATTGTCAATCAGTACAAGTAAGGCTTGTAGGTAGAGCAGCTATACAAAGGAATTTCAAAGTGCAGGAGCCAAATAGGCTTATTCCAGAGTTCGTCCTTTTAAAAATCCCTTCCATTTTCAAAGCTCCACTCTGAGGATCAAGGCTTAAAAAAACAGATATTCAGAGACATGTGAAGTCTAAACATTATCAGAAATTTAGAGATCTTGTTCTAATAGAATGTCCTAGAAGTAAAATCAAAACAGTGCTTTCAGATATTGTGACGATATTCCCATGTTGAATTTACCCATTGTGTCTTGTTTCAACTTAGTGGTTATCTATTGTTACAGAATAAGACAAAACCTGTGCAAATGATGTTTCAGAAGTCTACCTTTAAGATGACCTATGTGGAAGAGATATCCACCAAGATTCTGCTGCTTCCCTACACTGGCAATGTGCTAAACATGATCATCATGCTTCCAGATGAACACGTTGAACTGTCAATGGTAAGGATCATGGGGCCTTGATAGATCTGTAAGAGAAAAAGATTCGGAATTCTCCTAGAGCAGCTATCCTAGGCTCCCATAATCATGTTGTTATTTTATATTCATTTGTGTGGCTGGAGAGGAACCCAGGCCCTGGAGCAAGAATGGCAAACAACCACCACTGAGCCTGTCACAATTACCAAATTAAGTTATAGCCATACTTACCTGAGCATTGTAGAGATTCATAATCATCTCCAGAATGCTGTGTATAACTGACTTAAACTTTTGAACTCTTTTCTAGTTGAAAAAGAAAATGACTTATGAGAAATTTGTAGAGTGGACAAGTTTGGACAAGGTGAATGAAGAAGAGGTGGAGGTTTTCCTCCCACGATTTAAGCTGGAAGAGAGCTATGACATGAATGATGTTCTTTGTAAGCTGGGCATGACTGATGCCTTTGAGGAGGACAGAGCCAACTTTTCTGGAATGTCTTCCAAGCAAGGCTTGTTTCTGTCCAAGGTCATACATAAGGGCATTGTGGAAGTAAATGAGATGGGCACAAAGGTTGCAGCTGCCACAGAAATTGTCATGATGGGTGAACCACCAACAACCAACCGCTTCGTTGTTGATCACCCCTTTCTTTACACCCTTATAGATATTAGGTCCAAAAGGACTCTGTTCTTTGGCCAGTTCATCTCTCCCTAAGGAAAGGGTGTTCCTGTCATTTCTTTACACACTCTCCATGGTTTGCCTGTGATCCAAGTGACCTTATACATAAGTACAATGACAGTTATGAAATAAAGGGCCTTATGGCACCCCACCTTCAGAACTGAGTGTCTCATGGAAGGGCTTTTTTTCTAGTATCTGGATTTGCACATCTGGGGTTTGGTGGTATTGCTACCTATAGAGCTCATTCCTGCTGTAAAATGTTATGGATTCCTCTATCTCTGAAAAAGTCTTAATTTTGTACTATAGGTATGTGGTCGTTACACATTTAATCCAATTGAGTTAATCATGCTGTTGAAAGTCATAGGTGGCATAGTCCATTGGTGGGTTTCTACTCTTTTAAAGTTCCAGTTGGCTAGGCACATACTCTTCCATGGTTCTACTGACTGTGCTCTGGTGTCCAGGAAGTATTGCTAAATAAATACAAACCCACCTACACCACTGGCCTCCAGGTGTAAGGGCTGCTGATATTCCATCAGTTAGCTAATCCATGGAACTCTGAATGTTTCACACATAGAACAGGAGACTTACCTAATGTTACAAAATGTGCATCAAGGTGAAACAACCACAACTATGAGAGAATGCTTTCTCTATTTTCTGGGGTCACAGGAGTGGACATATTCATGCAGAAGAACTTCTTCATTGTTGTTCTGGGATATGTTCAGTGAAGTGTATGTGCACAGCAGTATTCATTTTGGACATGTTTGTGTCAGTTTGCTTTCCCCAACACTTTCAAAGGAGTGTCTTTGTACATAGAGCACAGCATATGCTGGGTACAGAACTAAGTGACAGAGTGCATGCATTGCATATGCAAGGCCATTAGGTAGATTCTTAGGAAAACAGCATACCAAAAATAAAACACATTAAACATACTTTGATGAAAATGTCCAAAACATATAACTAAAATGAGCTGTGCTTGTTATTCATAAATAATATTCATGGTAAATCTGCATCTTTCTCCTTCATTTCATTCTCATTTGTGTGTGTGTGTGTGTGTGTGTGTGTGTGTGTGTGTGTTATATGTACCTAATGTACATACAAGTATATTTAGTCTGTGATTGTGTGTGCCTTTGTGTGTGTGTACGTGTGTGTGTGTGTGTGTGTGTTTAATTCAACTTAAAAAACGAAGATAAAATACAATTAATTGGTAAGAAAGGCAGAAATTAAAACTCTATATAGAATTCTATTATAAACATTTACAGAGTGTGTTTTCCCAGAAAAACTGGAAGGATAAACCAAAAACATTAAGCTAGATCCAAAAAGGACTCAAAAGCTAATGGGAGTGAGATATCTGAGCATTCTTTTATGTTTAAGTCCTTCAAAAGAGAAAAACTCACAGCTGGGCTGGAGGCTTGATTTGCTACTGACATCTGCTAGGTAGACGGGTCAGGTCCAGGTCTGAGATCTGAAAAATTCCTCACAAAAGTATCTATTTTCACAGATTTGGGAGACTAAGGGTATATAAAGATCAATGCTTTGATCCTAAATTTTCAGCCCCAGTACACAATTGACACAGGCACATTCCAGAAAAGTCTCCAGAAAGGCAGGTTCAAGACTGATTCCTAGGCCTCTTCCTGGCTTCAGCTTTCAGAGATCCCCAAGCAAAAAGGAAACTGAGAAAAGCCATTTAACAAAGAGGTCACTAGGGAGATCCTTTCAAAGTCATCAAGGTAACCAAAGTAGAGTAACTAAGAAGGTTCCTGGGCAAGATCCTCTGTTCACTTTGGTTTCTAACATGTAAAGAGGCTCCTCATGTAGCCTGTGCCTCTGAGTACCTCAGCAGCCAGGACCCTCTCTCAGCCCTGGGGATTTTCTCTTTCCTTCTCTTTTTGCATGTTGCCAATGATGGTTTCAGGCTATGTGGTGAGAAGGCTAGGCTGACTTCATGATAGGCTTCAAATTGGCAGTTCAGGAGACTAGGCCTAAACCTGTTTCCAAGAACAGTTCAGATCCAGGCAAGTCCAGGTCTCAGAAGATTCCCAGCCACCTAGCATGAGGCAAGTACAATGAGTCAACAACAGTTTCCAGACTTCTTCAGCAACAGTTTCCAGGCTTCCCCAGCAACAGTTTCCAGCCTCTCCAATCCCAGCAATGGTTCTGTAATGTCCCTAGAGATAAATGAAGATTAAGACAGAGGTTACCTACTCCTCCCCAGAATTCCCCTAATGTGCTTTAAATAGGGCCTGTGAGCTCACTTTTGGGTCTCTACATCTCTGTAAATGGTAGATTCCAGCATTCTGCACTTCTGCAGAATAAAATACTCTGTGTTTATATACTATTTGCATCCAGGGTATCATTCTTCAGCAAACCATAGGCCCTTGCATTTGCAGGTTCATTCAGGATTTCCTGGAGACCTGTTGACACAAATAGTGGAGTATTCTTCAAATCAGTAAGTTCTGGCACCCAATTGTCTTTTGTCTTGTTCATCTTTGTATTTCTGTTTCACGTTTAATCTGTGTTTCTCTTTTGGATTTAATATGGAGGATGAGAGGGACAAAGCAGATGAGTATTTTGTCACCTGGACACTAGCAACAGAGGATATTCCTGACCCTCTACCAGAAGCAGGACAACTTGCTAGTTTTCATCTGAATTCTGAACTGGCTCTGAGTCTATGGATCTCCCATGTGCAGGGACAGCCATTTTGTTTTGTTTTGTTTTCCTGTTCTTCTGTGTCTGTCTGTGTGTATTCTCTTTGTGCGTTTTCTCCTCTCATACAAATTTTTCTTTGATTACTAGGGTGGACAAGCACCCCACTGGGCTTGATCCTGAACTACTACAAGGATTTTTGCAGTTATAGAAGACGCTGTTCTGGTTGTTTGTCCCCACAAACTAACCATCTTTTGCAGGAATGAATGGCCCATCTATAAATTAGAATGATCTGGGTAGAGGACTTTCCATCTCTTCATCATTTACAGGGTGAAGGTTTTAGTTTATGAGGCCTGAGGCCACCTGGACCAAGTGCCATATATCATCACATGGCAATACCTGGTTGAGAAGCCTTCTGTTTAGATGAGACCTTTTTTGCTATGGGCCTCACCACTCCCCACTCTTCTTCCTCTAAAGGAGGGTCAGCCTCAGCCCCCTGCCTTGATTCCCCTTTCTGATCCTGAGGAAGATCTCTGTCCGTCCTTATGTTTCTGCTTCTGCCACCACTACCCAGGCTCAGCCAGCACAGGCAGAGAGAGGCAGCCCCTGACTTCCCTGACTCTCCTGACTCCTCTACTGTCCAGAGGACTAACTCTACTATGGCTGTACCCCTCCAGGATACAGGACGCCCAGATGCTCAGAGGAGACAGTTCATGACATATGTGCCATTTGCCAATAACCATCTTTATAATTGGAAGTTGCAGAACTCCCCCTTCTTAGAAAGACCATCAGCTCACACAGGTCTTCTAGATTCAATAATGCTGACTCACCTGCCCACCTAGGTTGACCATCAGCAATTCCTCCAGATCCTCTTCAGAGCAAAGGAGAGAGGGAGGATCTTGGGAGTTTCCCTGAAATTGGTTCCAGGAGTAAATGGGCTGCTCACTCAAATTCAGGCTGATATCAGTGCAACTTTTTCTTTGACTCAATCAGACTGGGATTTTAACACTACCGAAGGGAATAGAGGCTCTGAGTCTACCATCAGATTATGATAGGAGGGCTCCAAGAGGCTTCTAGATTGCACATAAATTAATCTATCTAAGGTGAGCCAGATGATACATGGAAAGAATGAGAGCCCCAGGGAATATCTAGAAAAACTTTTACAAGCCTATAGGACCTACACTCCTTTTGACCCAGAAGCCAGAGCACCAGTCTGCTATGAACACTTTTTATATTAACCAAGCTGCCCCAGACATCCATTGGAAGCTTCAGCTACTATATGGCTTTGTAGCCTGCCTCTGGCACCCAAAAGTCAGGCTCTACTTGCCTTTGAGTGGCAATATTTGGAGAGAGGCTTCAAAGGACAACTGACTTGAACATATCTGCCTCAAGAATTCAACAACTCACCCACCATCTTTGATGAGGCACTGCATGAGGACTTGGGTGGGTACCAAAGGGCCCACTCCCAAATAACTGTTCCAGTATGATGACATCCTGATTGCAAGCTACCAACTTGAAGACATGCTGGGAGACCACACAAGACCTGCTGCAAGAACTGAGTTAACTTGGGTACTAAGTGTCTGCTAAGAAGGCCCAGCTTTGTCAACTTGAGGTTACTTATCTGGGGTACATATTCAAGGGGGGCCAGTCATAGCATTCTGTTGGTTGCCCAAAAGCAAACCATCCTTAGCATTCCACTTCCATCAACCCAAAGGCAAGCACAGGAATTTTGGGGATCTGCCACATTTTGTAGACTTTAGATGCCAGGGTTTGCTGAGATAGCCAAACCATTATATGAGGCACCAGGGGACAAGAAGACAAAATAGAATAGACCCCTGGGCTGGACATGGCACTTATGACTCTAGGAAGAGCCTTATTGGAGGCACCAACCTTGGCCCTCCTAAACATTCACAAACCTTTCCGTCTGTATGTGAATCAGAGAAAAGAAATAGCAAAGGGTGTGCTCACCCAAAATTTGGAAACATGAAAAAGACCTGTGGCTTATTTATTTACGAAGCTGGAACCAGTGGACTAAGGATGGCCAGCCTGTATCTGGATCATAACTACCATTGTCCTGATCAATAAGGATAATAAAATAACCATGGGCAGAAACTTGTTATCATTTCCTCTGCTGTTGAGGGGACCCTCAAAAATCCACCCAACCAGTGGCTGTCCAGCACCACTGGTGTACTTTCAGGCTCTATTTTTGAATCCCTCTCACATAATATATAGCTCTGCCCTAAACCCAGACACCCTGCTACCTGACCCATCCTCAGATGTGCAGCATGATTGATCTATAGTTCTAGGGCATGTCCAGAACATCATGCTGGACTTGACTGACATACCCTGGCCAGACACAGAATGTATTTACTTCATGAATGGGAGCAGCTTCA